AAATATTAAAGATATTTCGAACTATATTCACTTGTCAATTTCTCATCTCTGCTCAATATTACATCCCCCCCCCCCACATGAAATGGTGAAAAATCTTGGCAGCACATTTGACAAATGAACATGGGTAGGTTGTTTATACAGTGCTTTGTAAATTGATGTTTATGATGTTATGGGTTGTAATTGGTTTATGTTTTATGGTTTATGGTTTATGTTTGTGTGTGTAGAACAAGCCCTTCCCGAAGTTTAAAGGAAGAATATGCGAAGGGAATCATCTCCCTATTCCCATACTGGGTTGACACCAGGATCAAGCTTGGTTATGTAAGTAGCTGTTGCCTCTTAATCTTTTAGATTTATTTTCCAACATTCCTACCCTGATCTTTTTGCAAGGGCTTAGTACAGGAGTTACAGGTTTACAGTTAGAAATTGTTTTCATTTGGGACTCCGAATAACAAAATCATGGTTGATATGTTGTTGATAAAGTTTAACTGTATGACTTCATTTCAATAATTGTAGAGGTTTCACCTCAATTCATCCACACATTTGTAGTCATGCGCGTGGTGCTGCTGACGTAGAACACGCATGCGCTGCACCTTGTTTACAAGCAGCGGAAAGCACGCACATGCGTCATGTTACTCTCCATAATGGCGGAGGACAGTGACTCGGGGGAGAAGAATTATTGAATAAAGTCTTTATTTTTGTTTTCTTTGCGCACAAAGTATTCTCGTAGCTACATAACATTACGGTTGAACCACTGATGTCACATGGACTATTTTAATGATGTCCTTACAACCTTTTTGGGCCTTGAACATGGTAGTTGCAATGCTGTTTATGCAGGGTCAGAATTTAAAGCTCTCGGATTTCATCAAAATTATCTTAATTTGTGTTCCAAAGATGAATGAAGGTCTTGTGGGTTTGGAACAACATGAGGTATGAGTAATTAATTTTTTGGGTGAACTAACCCTTTAAAGATCACCTGTACTCCAAATTGTTGTTCTTGTGCTATTCTTTTCTACTTAACGCATATTTAGTAACAATATGTTGGAATCTGTTGGAAGTATGTAATACAGAAACTTGGGTGGAAAACAGGCATCACTGTATCTTTATTCATGCTGTATATTGACTTTAACTGTATATTGACTCAGGCATCACTGTTGTGATTAGTCTGTCAACTGACATACAGGTGCATCTCAGTAAATTAGAATGTCGTGGAAAAGTTCATTTATTTCAGTAATTCAACTGAAATTGTAAAACTTGTGTATTAAATAAATTCAATGCACACAGACTGAAGTAGTTTAAGTCTTTGGTTCTTTTAATTGTGATGATTTTGGCTCACATTTAACAAAAACCCACCAATTCACTATCTCAACAAATTAGAATATGGTGACATGCACAGAGACCAGATGAAGTAGGAGTTTAAAAAGAGGAAGGTTAAATGGAGATTACAGTGAAAACCATCCCCCAGTTAGAAAAATAATACAGGATGAGAAGCAGGATTCCATGAAGGCTTGGTGTTAGAAACAAGCTCTTCACATCTCAACTTGTTTTTTGTTGTTGTTTTTTTACATGTAAACATACACCTGTGCCAACAAGCTCATCTCATGTCAGTATCTCTTACCTGAGGTGTCTTTTAACAACAACGTCCTACCAATGTTAGACAGGAGGTGGTCAATATTTGGAACAGGCTCTATGTCCTGCTGGTCCTCTGGTGTCTGTAGGGAAAACATCACCATATGGATGAGTTTGCTGAGTTTTTGAAGTGCCCTGTCCATGCCCCTCGTGCCCCTGACCATCACATGTATTAGATAATAAACTGTAATTTTAACAGATTAAAATGATGATAAGAGAGAGACCAAAGACTGTTTATTGGGTAATCTCAAGTGTGAAATATTTCAAATGGTTATAAAAGGCAGTATGTACCTTCTCTTCCTTATCCAGCTCATCACTGAAGAACCACGTATGCTGCAAAAAACAAACAAACAAAGAAAAACATTTAAAGACGGGATATATTTTATTATGTTAACTCTGTTAACATTTAGGGAATGTTCCAGCTTCATTACAAGTTCAGCTCCATGAATGGCATTTGTGGCATAAGGAAAATAAATAATTTTGGGGTCATGAAATGGACATTACACATACAATAGGTTACTCTTTAATAATACTGCAAGTTTCAGAACTCAAAACTCTCCAGTTTAACCTGTCAACCTGCTCCCCCCATTTTGGGACTCAGCTGAAAATGGCCTACCTAACTTTAAATGGTAGCAGTTCCTGACAACAGTGTGCTATGCACTCAATTTAGGTATCTTTGGAAAGAAGACACTTTATGCTTTACTATCCATCATCCAGAGTTGATAATGCTCTTTCTTTTTCCAAAAAAATCAGTCCTTGAGCAATCCAGAAAAGTAATGGGTTTAAAGTCACATGTCTCATGAGTTTATATTTCAAATTTGAAGAAGATACCATGAAAAGTAAGATTCCTGCAGCCATTTTTCTAGTATGTCTAGTCCCCCCCACCCCCTTTTTGAGGAAAAATAGCCACCGAATTTAAGGGTTCTACAAACTATTTTAGTCATTATACATACCACTGCATACTTTCAATTATAAAATAATAGACTGAATCTTAGACCTTGTATAAGTGATTTATTTGAGCACTAGAAAAATACAATAAGAATAATTTTTGAGTAATAAAAAGAAAAAAAGAATTAGCTTTGTATGTCAAGTACATACTCTGATTGCCAGACATACAGCATTCACACTGATTGCTGGTCATGCAGTCAGTAATCACATGATGATGGCCGGTCATATGTCAATAGTCTCCCTTATGGCCGTTCATATAGACAGCATTCAAACTGATAGCTGGTCATTCAGTCAGTAATCACACGCTGATGTGCGGTCATAGAGATGATAATCATACAGATACAGCCACATTCCCCACAAAGCACACACACATATATGAAAAATGTTGAATAGGGGAAAAAATAATTATTTGCGCAAAAAGCCGATTGCTAAGTTATGTCCCCAACAGATGACAGGTGCGTCACAGCGTGCATCACGAGCCGTCACAAGAGAGTGCCAGAATTCAAACAAACAAGATTCCGCCTACCTTTCAATTTTTTTTAGTGGATGGTCTCATTCTGTTTGTGACAGTGAATGCTACAAAACCATGTTGTTTTTTAATACCAAGACGCAGTTTTTTGAGCATAAGTTATTCCATACCCGATACAAACAGTAACTGTCCCCGAAGAAATGAGACGTAAACAAAGGAATAACCATCCATATTACAACGCTATTGTTTCGTTGGACTAAAGTTGCTCTATGGGATTTTGTTCAGTGGACCTTTGCCTTTCTAACTACACCAGGATTTACAGCAGTGGATGCGTTTGTCTCATTATTACGATGAATCTGGTACATACTGCGTTTTGATTATGCATGTTTTGATGTGTACTGCTTACACACATTTAGCAAATACATTCCTTATAAGCTTTCCATTGAAAAACAGAGATCTATCGTTGATGCTTGAGGCTTAGACCTTTAGAATTATATATTGTTTGTCAAGATTAATTATGTCCCTTTTCATTTAATCTATTCGTAAACATTGACACGTGCAAACAAAGAGTGTTCAGTGTGCCGGCTTCCAGGTGCAGGTTATCAGGTTAAAATATGAATTAACATTTTCTACCCTTCTGAAACACCCAAATTTGAAATCGGAAGTATCGGGATCTCCTCGACACACCCCTTAACGTATCATCATTGTATGTAATCAAGTGTTCTGTCTGTCAATCAATCACTAGATCAGAGCCGGCCAAAGGCATAAGTGAACTAAGTGGTCACTTAGGGGGCCCCCAAGAGTTCATGAAATGACAGCTTGATTTTATTTTATTTTTTATCGTTAGCCTTATTATTAGTCCCATATCGATACTTCACTCGTACTGTGTCTGCTAAGACGCTATGGGGAAAACTCCTTATTATCCGAATACTGAAGCCTTTTCAATAACGCAGTGTAACTGCACGGCCATTGGTTCATGCAGTGAATTAAAAAATGAAGCGGAGCTGCACGAGCCTATGGTGACAAAGCCCGACAGAGCCCGCCAGAATGGGCGGGGCATCTGGCTATATAAGCGGGCACTTTGCCATAGGATCCTCAGATTTCTTCTCCTTCAGCCACGACTGCAAGATCTTCGCTCTACGAGACTCATAGCCTTCGCTGTGAACAAGCCTCGCAGTGGATATTCCTGCTCGGCTGACTTTGCCGCTTTTCAGCCACCTTCAGCGTCTGCAGCAGCTGCGGTCTTCCCGGTCCCCTGCCGCTATCTGGTGATTTCTATAGAGAAAGCTTTGTTTCAAATGCCACGCCGCTACTGCCGCTGATGGTCACAGCGAGTGCGTATCATGCTTGGGCGCTGCCCACGCTGAAGCTGCACTCACTGAGAGGGAATGTCCGCATTGCGAGGATATGAGTCTCGCCCTCTTTTCAGAAAGCGACTCCGACCATTGCACCCTCCTGCTTTCTTCCTCCCAGGAGCCTGTGAGGAAAAAGCAGCGGGGCAGAGGATCTCGGTGCTCGGTGACGAGTGAGCCCACGTTGGCTGAGCCCCCACATGCCTCACTTTCTCCACATAGAGAGGCTTCACCCTACCTCTTCTCTCATCTGGACCAGCATCCCTCTGTGGCTGTGAGCGATCTGGTCTCGTTCGGTGGGAGCGAGTGTGACGCCATGGACGACAGCATGTCTCTGGCTGCTTCAGATGCGCTCGTCTTTCGACCCCGCCCCCTTGCCATCTGCAGAGCCCAGTGCAGCCAGCACAGGCATGGATGCCGAACTGTTCCATGTACTGTCTAAAGCTGTGCAAGAGCTGGGTTTGGATTGGTCTCCACTGAAGGAGCTCACCCGCAGAATCAACGAGGAAATCACACGGCGGCGGGACATGCTTTCACATCAATGAGAGATGGTGTACAGATGTAACTGTTCTACTCGCCGCGGGAGTTTTACTCATTCATTCTCGTCAGTGTCTACATTCCTCTGCAAGCGCACGTGAGCTCCGCTTTACAGAAACTCGCTGATCAGATCACAGAGACAGAACAACAACACCCGGACTCTGTTTTAATCATTCTCGGGGACTTTAATAAAGCAAATCTCTCCCGTGAACTGCCAAAATACAGACAGCACATCACATGTCCCACCAGAGACAGTAATATATTGGATCACTGTTACACCACAATAAAGAATGCATATCACTCTGTTCCACGAACAGCTTTGGGGCTCTCTGATCACTGTTTGGTTCATCTTATACTGACCTACAGGCAGAAACTGAAATCAGCTAAACCTGTATTAAGGACTGTAAAAAGATGGACTAATGAAGCAGAGCAGGATTTACAAGCTTGTTTTGACCTCACTGATTGGAGCGT